GTACGAGTCCGGCGACAAGGGGGATTCGTGGACGGAGGCACTCTTGGACACTCTCTCGCGTGTGGGGCAACAAAAAGGGCGAAGAAGCGAAGGGCGTTGGGAGTGGGTTCACCACAGCGACTATTGAGAACAAGGACGTGATGCTCGTTACTCTGCCGGTGTATTCAAACAGAAAGGGAAACGAAAAGGGCGTACTTCATCTTTGGCTGACAGATAATACGCACATTGTTGATATTGGGGCGGTGTCCGGTGATTATGACGCTGCCGCCAGCTCCCTGCTGTACAAAAGTGCTGGAAGTGGAAATAATAATGAGAGGTTGATTGCACTGTACGAGAAGAAGAAAGGCGGTGGGGAATCATCACTCGGTATGGTCTCTGTGCGTCTGACTGCGCAGCTGAGGCGGGTGAAGGAGGTGCTGGCGACGTGGAAGGAAGTGGACAAACGTGTCTCCGAGCTGTGCCCCTCTCCAGGTACTGCGAAGAATCCCTCAGCTGGCAGTGGCTGCAGCACTGTTAGGATCACGGATGGGCTGGTTGGCTTTTTTTCCGGCAACTTCTCTGGTGACACATGGAGGGACGAGTACCTCGGGGTGAACGCCACAGTGAAGAAAGGAACGAATGGGGTGGCAACAGGGTATGCGGATGGAGTGACGTTCCGGGGAGCGTGGGCGGAGTGGCCTGTTGGCGAGCAGGGGGAGAATCAGCTGTACCACTTTGCGAACTACAACTTCACTCTTGTGGCGGCGGTGTCTATTCACGAGGTGCCGACGAAGGGAGATAACCCCATTACATTGGTGGGTGCGACGATGAACGACGATAAGAATACTGTGCTCCTGGGACTGTCGTACGACAAAGAGGGGAAGTGGCAGGTGCTGTGCGGTGGCAAAGCGACCAAGGAGCTCCGCAGTAATTGGGAGCCAGAGAAAACGTACCAAGTGGCCATTGTGCTACGGAACGGCAAACAGGGCACCGCGTACGTCGATGGTCAGCGTGTGGGAGATGCGTCATGTGAATTGAAAAACGTGGATTCGAAAGGAATCTCACGCTTCTACATTGGAGGGGATGGAGGCAGCGCAGGGAGCAAAGAAGACGTGCCTGTGACCTTGTCGAATGTCCTGCTGCACAACCGCCCGTTGGATGACAATGAGATCCGCGTCCTCAACGCAAACAAAATTTCTATTCCAAAGCTGACAGATCTGAAAACATTGGCGGCAAGAGCAACGGATGAAGGTACCGCTCGTGGCAGCACTGTTTGCGGAGGCGGACTGCTGCCGCTGCTCCTTCTGCTTGGATTGTGGGGGATTGCCGCTTCTTGAGGAGTGTGTGGCCTCTGCGTGGAGCACCTCAGCCCCTCCCCACCACCGACGCACACACTCCTGGTAGTGGATTACTATGCGTAAAGGAAAATTTTCATGTTTTTTTCTTTTTACTCCCTCTTTTTTGCTTGGTGCTTCGGGGCAACGTTCATGGACGTTTTGCTTTTTTTATGGTTCAATTTTTTTACCCCCTTTTTTTTTTCTAATCTCCCATCCCCTCTTTTTTTGCTTTTGGAGGCAATCACTGTGGAAGTTTTTTCTTTTCTACTCCTCCCTCTTTCAATTGTTTCCTGTGGCACCCTTCCTGTGAGGGGTGCCGTGTGTTTCCGCCCAACTGCTCCGCTCGCACACCCACCGACACGCTCATGACGACGGCCCTGTGCGCCTCGCCCGCTGCACGCATGAGGAGGGGCCGCGACGAACGGCGCGCTGAGGGAGCCGTGACGTGTGGGCGTGCGACGAGGGCCTGTGGGGCGGAGCACACATTTGTTCCCTCTTGTTTTGTTTTCTTGCGGCCAGGGCTGGCAGACACCCGCGGCGCCACACACACACAGCCACACCCTGCCGCCGTGTTTTTTTTTCTTTTTTGTTTTTGTGGATGGCGTGTGCTGCCACCGTGCGTGATTGTTGAGTTTGGGCCGTACCGCATGTATCGCTGCCATCCAACTGTGCCTCTTGCCGTGCTGACGATGTGCCTCCCTGTGCTTCTTTTTTGCTACGGCAGCAGACACACACATAGGTAGTCGCACAGTGCTCTGCAGGAATGCTCTTGGCGGGACGTTGGCTTGCGTTTCCCGTGCAGACATGGTGAGGACGCTGCGTGTCTGCCTGCAGTGGGATTCACGGTGTCATTGGATGGATGCGTGCGGGGCGCTCTTTGCATTCTGCTGGAGGCCGACTGACGCGACGTCACGATGCCCGCCATGCGTGAGGGTGTTGCCTGCTCTTGGGGTCTTTTTTATTATCCCTCTTTTTTTGATCTGCCGTGTGAGGGAGCGTGTGTGGCCGTTGTTTCCCCACATTTGCTTCTTCCACACAAGTGGCACCACTCGGCCGCCTCTCACAGCACCCAGGCCGTGGATTGATAGGATGTGAGGGTCTGCTTCATGCACAAGGAGGACGGCAGGAGGCAGTGCGTGACGGCCAACCTGGTCCGCGGGTGGTTGCAGCGCATGGAGCACGTGCGCCAGTACGCGTTGGGCGTAGCACTCATAATTGTGGAGGAGAGGCGGCACGACGTTGTTGCGCTGTGTGTGTTGTGTGGCCGGGGCATGCCGGCGATTGAGAGGGACGTAGAGGACACGGAGATGCTGGACTGAGGGAGGAGGTGGCGAACGTTGCGGCGCAGCGACCCCAAACCGCGAAACCCCTTGTAGCGGTTTCCTTCTTTGGGGTTGGCGCGGCGGGTTTCAACCACGCGCGTATTTTGGATTCTTGTTGCGTTCTGTTTCCCGCGGCTTGCCGCCGTTGGCGCCGCAGCGCTGCTAATTTGTATGCCCTCGCGCGGCGGTCGGGTCGCAATGTGCCGAATCCGCCTATTACCCCACACCCTGCCCGATCAGCGCCTGCACGCGATCCGCCGGCGCGGCGGCGAGAAGGCGGTTGACAAGAAAGTCCCCTGGCGAAATCAACCGGCAAGCCCTAACCGCCCGCGTTCCTTCAGGAGTCGTCTAAAACAAACAAACAAAAAACAGGGCAAAAGAGAGGAAAACGGATCGGGCGAGATTCAAGCGGCGTTTTCGGCGTTCTGCGGCGCCGGCGTGCGCATCCGCGTCGGGAGTGGGAAACGCAAAGGAAGGGTGGTGACAATCATAATGAAAAGACAGTGACATTATTTATTTTTTTTTTTTTTAAGGTCTCGTAGGCGTGGAGATTTTTTTTTTCTTTTGTTGTTTGCCTGTCCGTTTTTTCTCTTTTTTCTTCTTTTTAAGCCCTCACAGCGCCGCCTGAAAACAAACAAACAACAAAAAACAATAAATAAAAGAAATTCCTTTAGAGTTTTTCCGCCAAATCGCTGCCACTTTCCTATTCTCGTCCTTTATTGCTTCCTTCTTGTGATCGTTACTGTTTCTTTAAATGGTTCCACATCGTGGAAGCATTGAAGGCGTTGGCGGGCCGCTCCTCATACCGGAAACGCCGCGCACGTCTGCATATGTCTTCTTCCTCCTCTTCCGACGCCCCGCGAAAGGCATGCAGGGCGCTGCGTACCTCGTCGGTGTTCGCGCCAGCGTGACTATTGGCGGCCGTTCCATTGCCGCCACCTTCCACCCTATCCGTGCAGAATTCATCGAGACAGTCATCCAAGAGGTCGTCTTCTTCTTTCCTCTGTTCCTGTGCGGCCGCCGCTTCCTCAAAGAGGATGCTGTCCGTGTCCCGCCGGTGTTGTGACATATATTCCGCATGCCATGCCGGAATGAAGCCTGTCAGACTGAGCCGCATCATAGGGATGACCTGCGAGATCCACTGGGTACGGGCATTGAGGGCCTGGGAGATCATGGTCTGAAGCATTAGCGGTATAAGTTCGTACAGGACACTCAATCCCCCTTCAAACCAGACGGATGCACGCTCAGCGGCAATTCCAGCGATACGAACGAAAGCCACTCGCAATCCAGTCGTCCATTGGTCAATATCCACGGTTGGGTTTAAAATGGCGCTAGCGATTTCTTCATGCGCGAGGATCAAGTAACTTTTTAACTCTGAAAGAAAGTTGCATTGAGGCCGTCTCGCCCTCTCAATGAACTCCATAAAGCTGAGGTTCCCTTGAAGGGCCTCAATGGCTTGAGCCACTTGATCCTCCACAAATCGTCGCCGATTCTCTTGCTGCGTGCGCCGCGCCTCTCCCTCTGGTTGCTCTCCCCATTGCCTCACCGCTTCTACGAGGCGCTCCCGGGAAGCTGCAAAAAAAGAAAAATCTCCCTGAAGAAGTGGAAATAAAGTTGCGACATTTGCATTTGAAAAGGCTATGACACAAAGCTGAGGAAGTCCACTTTCTTCCTCTTCTTCCGTGGCACCAATAAGTGCGTTCGTCAGTTCGCCGATGGTTTCTGGCAGAGCATTGGAGGCCAAGTTCCTACTCCCAGCGGGGGCGTTGTTATCGCTGCCACGGTTGCCGTTATTTGATTCGGCTGTCCTCGGTGCGGCGGGTTGGGCCGAAGGGGTGGCTCCATGTGGAAGAGGTCCGCGTTCAACGTGCACGCTCGCAGTCGATCCAGAAGCTTGCATGCGTCGGCGAAATCTTTCCAGGCGTTCAGGGAGTTGTTCGAGCTCATCCAGCGAGACGTGAACGTGGATGTGCACGGGTGAGGGTGCCAGTGCCTCGGGAGTCGGCACCGCGTAAGAAAACGAAAAGCGATGCTGCTGTTGTGGCTGCCCTTCCATGGGTGACTGCTGCTGCTGCTGTTGTTGTTGTTGTTGTTGTTGTTGCGACTGCGGCTCTTGTTCACGCTGTTGCTGCTGCTGCTGCTGCTGCGAATTGTCCATGGAATGTGCGCCCATTCCACTCCCCATGATTCCGCCCTGGATAATCACCGGGGTTCGCCCCGCCGTTGGCCCCACCATGCTCGAGACAGACTGCTGAATGAAGCTCAGGAGAGGATCCGGAATTCCCCGCCAGAAATTTGCAAATTCAAGCAAGTTCATAACGGGAATTCCGCCCTGCTCGTTGTTGCCGCTGTTGTTGCCCCTTGAGGAGGAATCTGATGGAGGAGGCGCGCCTTGCGTGATCACCGCGTGGATCGTCGCGCCTTCGTGAAGAAACGAGCCCAGCGGTCGAGACTCGTCAATGAGACGCCCCATGTGGATGAGTCGCAGCCGCTCTGGTGCGGCACCAATCCGCTCGGCAACGGTACGCCGCAGTCCCTCGACGCCGGCGTCAAGGTCCACCTCCAGGTCGCTGATCGTGTGCTCCGGCCGCACACCCGACACATTGATCCTCATGATCTCTGATTTTGCTGCTTCACCCCTTCCTCTCCTCCTTCTCTTTCTGTTGCTTTGTGTGCTTGGCTGGTTTCGCCTGTGCCGCGTTCAGTTAGCTGAACGAGTTGGCATATATATATATATATTGCATATTTGTGTGTGTGTGTGTGTGTTAAAACAGGTGGGCGGGAGAGAGAAAGAGAATATACACAAGAAAAGAAAAACCGGCTGTCAGCAGACCTTCTTTCCACACGCACCACCACAAATGCCACCATCATCCTTTTGGTTTTGTTCACCCCTTGAACTTTTCTCTGCTAACAGCATGCGTCAGTCCAAGTCAAACTGGAACTTCGTTCTCGCCGCACAGTCGCGTACGGCCTCAATCTTTGCCGCCACGTCGTCGTTGCACCAGCCGCACTCGACAAGAAGTCGCTCCGCCTCGTTAATCATCAACTCCCCGAGATTGAGATGTTGCATCATGAGCAATCCGCCGTAATCCGCAGCGTACGTGATCCGCCGCTCCCCCATCGTCAGCCGGTTGACGATGTAGCGCTTCTTGAGCGCATCTGGCAGACGATGGAATTCATGTCGGGGCGCTTCCTCATCCTCCGGCCAATGAGGGAATAATTCGCGATTGCTCCTTCGCATCAGTTCCTCCTCCTCCTCTTCTGTCTCCAGGGCGGCCTGGTACTTTTCGTGCATTCCAGGCTCGTAGTGCACGCGACCAAAGAAGGCATTCTCCCAGCTTCGCGCGATGCGGCGGCGCTCCTCCGCCGTTGCGGAGGTTCTTTTCCCTCCCGTCGTGTCGGCGGCCTCCTCACCGTCGCCACGGCGGTCACTGCCCGCACGACGGCTGCCGCCTCCGCCCTTCTCCCCTTCTGCCGAAGACGCCGATGAAGACGACGACGTGCAGAGGCGTTTCTGTGCGCACGCCACAAACCACAGTTGCACTCCTGTGCGGAGGCGTGGTGCCACCTGCGGTCCACGCCACATGATTCTCCAACTGAAGCTACCACCACCAACACATGACAAAAGCAAAGAATGAAAAGGAGGCCGACTGTGAAACATCCAAAACCGCGCAGTGTTCCAACATATAAGGGCACCATCACAAAAAACACATACCCACAAAAACAGATGGCAGAAAAAAAAAAAAAAAGACACGCAAACGCGTCGTAGTTTCTGCATCTTTTTTTTTTCCTTTGCCTCCAAATGTGTCGGTTATTCCAATTGTGTAGATTCCTCATTGATTGGATTCATTCATGCGGAAAGCAACCGTCAGGGCTATCCCTCGTACATCATCCACCAACACCGCAGTTGCCGCAGATTCACCAAACATACCGCGGTTTAGCCGTAGCGCCGGAAAGCCGCCTTCACAACCGCAGGATGCATCCGCCCGCTGTTTTCTTCTGCGTCTGGCATCCATCTCATCCACACACCCTTCACGAGATGCCACGAAGCACGTGGCATAGTTGGCAAGCCAGAAAAACACCTTTGCCTGGTGATTGTCCGTCATCACGAGCAGAGGTTCCTCCTGCCCTGGAATGATCGTCTTTCCCTTGACGGCACCGTCGCCAGCGCCGTCCGCTCCCACGGTGCCTCCGTTTTGCCCCATGTAATAACGCCGCTGGAAACGCCAATACTCCGAACTTGGCAACGGACTCCAGCAAAGCCCCACAACGGGCTCATTGTGGCGAAGTACCTCCGTCACTCGCTGGCCAAGAATATCAATAAGCAACACCCACGATGGCCACCTTGCTAAAGTGACAGCAGCAATCTGACCAGACGCGCTGATCTCTGCATGACCATGCAAGAAGGCTTCCATCCCCCTTCCTTGTGTCCAGTCATGACATTTATTTGGCTCTGTGAGAATGTCTACGTCCTGCTGACAGGACTCATCTGCGCGTGAAACAGTAACCAACGGGAATCCTTCCGCCAAAGACGGTTCCTTCAAAAGATGCAATTCTCGTAGCTTCAGAGGCAAAATGACATCTTCCTGAAAGCTAATGCGTCGCAAGACCAAAATACGATTCCTCCGCACAAGAACAGGACGACAGGCATCGGCAAATATGACAAGAAGCACAGTGCCATTTTTAGAGGAAACCACATTTTTCACACCGGAGGGCTCGTAATGCAACATGGCCGTGCCATTATATGGTATCAACGCCATCGAGCCGTGAATATAATCCACCAGTGCAATCCCACACTCCAGTGGAATAAAGTCCGAAACTTTTTCCACAAACGATCCCGTTGGGAAGGCGTGTAACTCCTCGTGAGTCGTCGCCGAGGCAACAACAAGCCATTCACTACGCTGTGGACGGGAGCTCGCACAATTCTCATTGTCATCCGGCTCTCCTGGAGGTGTGGGCGTGACGTCACCGTTCAACCCACGCGATGGGACCGCCTGCCCCTCCTGGTTTTTTGAAAGCGGTGAGTGGAGTGACTTGGGCGTTAAGTAAAGCAGAAATCGGTGGCAGGTAGAAAAACGAATCAAGGCGGCTTCACTCACAGGGTCACTCATCCTTGAGGAAAGAGAGGAGTTGGGGTCGCCGTGGGAGAAGAACTTCGATGAAAGCTTCCTTGCTGCGAGCTGAGTCGAATACTTCACACTCCCTGCAAGGCGCATCACTTGACTGTCTACAAGAGAGATGACATGCGCCTGGAGCAATCCCAGCCAGTAAACCGCGCGCGATGATGGATGCCACAGTACCGCACGCATTCCCGAAATCCCGGCATCAATACGGGCCACACAACACTTGCCGTATACACTCACAATTTCCACAATCCTTCGTTGCGCCAGTAGCAGCGTCACAAGCGTACTGTCCGGTGACCACTGCAGTTCATGGATCTCGTCCAACGCCGTGTGGGTGGAAATGACCGCATCGCCTGTGCGGTGTTTCGGAAACTCCGCGTCCTCAAAAAGAGGATCAACACCCTCGCCACCTGAGGGGGTGTCATTCCCCATTCCACTCGTACGCCGGATGTAATCCATAAACACAACGACTATGCCCTTTTTCACAAAGGCGTACAGGCCTTTATTCGGCGATATCGCGCACAGTCCACCCTCATCTGAGGCCAGGACTTCCATCGATCAACTACAACAACTGACGCAGCCACAGCCAACACCAACAATCCTCCCACCCTTTTTTCGCTTCCTGCTGCTTTCTTCAAGGGGCTTTCCCCGCCCAAGTATACCTTTATATTTATAAATCTATCTATGTATGTGCCGAAGGGGGGAAAATAATAATAATGATAATGCTTTCCTCCCTTTCTTCACCCTCGCTCTTCAAATCACCATGCGCTGGCGCATAGGGAAGAAGACAATAATAAAAATAATAAAAAACAATATGCACCCATCAATCATCAAGAAATAGGAGGAAACAACAACAACAACAACAAAAACGAGCAACAAAAAGAGTAAAGTGGTACCAACACCGAGAAGGGGGAAAAAAACAACAACTAACCAACCAACCAACCAAGCATAACTGAGAGCCATACACACTCGCGTTCTACAAACAAGCGTGACTTTATTCCCATGTCATTCATAGACGTCCCCACCCCACCCCTTCACAGTTACTCCCAATTTCAATCCGTTATATACCTTACACGTCGTTCGTACCTCAAACATATCACCACCGTCTCTTCCGCCCACCCTCGGTCAATCGTCACTTCCCTCCTCATAGCTGCCACCATTACTCAAAAGCAGAGTCACTAAAGGAAGGGTGGTTGTCTGCACCACGTCTCCCGTCACTGTGACAAACACAAACGCACACCCTGAGCCATCGGAATCCCACACCTCATGATATGTCACACAGTGCTTCAGTAAAGCGTTTCCTCCCATAAGACACACCATTGCCTGCACCAGGCATTGCATCTCAAACTCTGTCTTCTGAAAGAAAACACCAAGATCTTCAGAAGAGTCAATCTCGTAGGCTTCACGAATAAAGTGCTGTGAAAGACGGCCCACATATCTCGCAATGGACCTCCCTGCCACAAAATCTAGCGGAGTAAAAATTATACTAGAATCGTTTGCTTCAAGCGTCTTCAGGTCCATAGGGAGTCGCTGCGCTGGCTGATGCAATATCGGTCCACCGCTACCGGTAGACTTCAGGGAATTGGCACCGTCACGATGACGAGCATCAACACCTCCCTTTCCATCTGAATTCAGACCCGTTTTCTCCATCAAATTACGAACAGCTGTAGAGGCAAGTAGGGCTAACGCTTGCCATTGCCGCTCCATCATTCCGGGACGTGCTCGGTTATCTTTATAGTAACCATAAACGTCAGACGCGGTTAAAGGTGCAGAATTCGTACCTTCACTGGACCCCAAAACAGGAGGTGATACATGACGCTCAAATACAAAAGGAAGCGCATATGGCGCATTACTCATCACAAAGATACGACGCTCAATGTTCCGCAGCATGACTTTTTCACCATCGCCAAAGCTCCCAAAGCCAGAGCTCCTGTTCCCATCTAACGTGGGAACACTACCTAGTGATCCATGAGGTAAAGTACTGGTGTCCTGCGACGGTGGATGTATATCCGCTGAACCACTGGGATTCCCGTACACAATTGGTCCAGGAAGTGGATACCGTTCGATGCGTCGCATACACTCCATAAAAGATCTCTCTTCCAACTCCATCAATCGCACTCGCTGTGTTGTGGTGCGCAACATCAGGCAACCCTCCAATCGCAGTTGCAAAGAACAGGAGTTGGGTTCAAAGAAGAAATCAAAGGTAAACCCCATCACATGCAAACGTTCTAATGGGCAACGGCAACACCGCATTGCTACACGACAGGCAACCTGCACAAAGGCCTTTTTGGCATTTGCAAAACACTCATTTATTTTTCCCGTAGTAACAGACTCATTGTGTATTCGCTGAAATACAAAACGACGGTTTATCACAATACGCTTCTGAGATCCGTAGGTATTGGCCCATTCCGGTACGTACGGTATTGTGAGGAGTAAACTGTGTTCAAAGGTTAAATCAGCACTCATGCCAAGCATCATCTCTGCCTCTTCCTCATCGTCAATTTTGAGAACATAATCACATGCTCTGCTGACCCTACCGATTCCGTGGGGGCCCTGATCACTTCCCGATTCGGAACTCAATTCTCCATCGCCCCCTGCCGTCTCAAACGGATTGGAATCTTCCATCTGGACCGCCGACGACGAGCGTGACGATGAGAAAGATCCCTGATGTTCTGCACCCATTGGGGGAAAATTTCGATGTTGGTGTCGCTTTAACCGAGTATGCTGCGCCACAAGTTCCACCAAGCGCATGACGGTTTTGTTACGTTGTATTGCCGGGTCAATAAATTTCAATCGAGGCAAGGATGGTACTGGAAGGGCCACAAGACGAACGCCAGTGCCTGTCAGTGTACCGATGATTGTGTCCGAGGCGATGCAAACCGTAATTCGAAGCCCAAAAACGGCATTTAACTTTTGCAGTCTCAGATGAAAAATTAACTGCTTGTGCAAGGAGTACTCAATGTAGGGAAGTGCCTGTGACACAGCGAGGGCAAGGTCCACCCCTCGCACGGCACTCTTTGCCTTGGACACAACGGTATGTACAAGTCGGGGTTGTTCTTCACACATGAGATCCTGCGGCATGGTACATGAAACAAGCAGCACATCTGGTACGGATTTGCGATGGCAGAGATTACAAACCGCAGGACATTCCATTTCTCCAACAAAATCTTTTAAGCGTAAATTTGGATAAAATAAATGTAACATAGAGCAATTTTTCTGTGCGCCAAAACGTCCTCGTGCAGTTTGGTAAAGATATTCCGGACCACAACGAAGTGGAAGCATCGTCGAGTTCAGTACCACTGCGGTTCCAGAGAGCGATAATACAGCCACATCCTCATGATACATGACAACTTCTTCATATCCCAAAATGACGTTACAATGAAAGGCCCGTGCATTTGCCTTAAGTTCCTCCCGTAACTCCATCCACCATGAATCACGCTCTTGCGATATCATTTGTTTAGATTTCATTTTGGCAACAATTTTCACAGATCGTGCGCTAATGTATCCTCCAATGTGCTCTATCATACCAGAGGGAAGATCCTTGAGTGTCAATATAAGTACATTGGAACGTGCCCCTGTTGCTGTTTGCTGTGCAAGTAAACTTGGGAATCCATAATCGGCCTTTGAAAGGGTCATTGGGTAATTATCACAAGGCATGGAGGTAACTTGTGGATAAACTGCGGGCGATAATAAGCACGTTTGAGGGGGGTTATTGGATGCCAGTTGCGGAGGCGTAGGGACCTCGGCTTCTGGGAGCTGCAAAAATGAAGTTTCCGGCGCTGATGTACGCTGTTGCATCGGTGAGGCAAAAGTCATTCCTGATCCCAAAACGACCCCCGCAGCAGTCAAACCGCCCGCCGATTCCGCAGCCTGCATATGCAACGTTGTGACAGATGGATCGTGCGCTGGTGTAATGGAGCCGGAGGATATCTCCGTGGCTCGCAAGGCCACCCGTGTGCTGTCCGGCAGGAGGCGCTCCGCCCTCTCTCGATCCACAAACTTAACTGCGGAGAGGACGCATGGAGTACCGTAGGCCCGAACAATAATACCATTTGACTCCATATCAAACTTCTCCACATACCCAAGCACCGCGTTGCACTGCATCTCCACAACTTTACGAGCCAATTGACGTCGTACTTTCCCACTGAGTTTGTAGAGTTGAATAATACGCGCCTCGTTCGTGGAGCGGGTACTACGCAGGTTAGTCAGCTTCGAGTGCTCCGGGTCTGCCTTCACAATGAGCTCCTCCACCATGGTGAGTACCGATTCAACGCGGTACACGGAAGGGTCCAAACGCCATGCCGAGAAGATGAGAATACCCTCCTCTTCCGCGGCGATGGAAGGATGCTCCATCCGCGTGGCCCGCAACGGCTCAAAACCTTCCGCAAGATACATATCGAGTTGCGGATTCGGGAGCAATAATTGATGATCCTCCGCACGGCTTCTTTGATCGACATCGGGCAGGGTAAAATGTGGGGCATAACGTATTGGAAGTCGTGGTGCAAGTGGGTTTTCCGCGTTATGAAATTTTATTTTTAACGTGAGGCGGATTTCCCCACGAATGCCCTTTGCGTTTGTGTCAAAGAGTGGAAACCAGCCGCTCATGGAGGGGTTGCTCTGCAGCACCATGGAGTTGCAGTCAATAAATGTAAGTCCGACAATGTCATCGCGACTGATGATGTCATGATCGTAAAGACGCACCTCCAGTGGGTCCTCCTGCAAAATAAAAAGATCGGGCGTGTCAATACGGAAGACGGTGTTCCACACAGGATGCCGTGACATGTGCACAATCTCTGTGGTGTACTCCAAGTCATTTAACCGCAAAACGACGTACGGGTCAGCAAGGCCGGTGGTGCGATCCATTATGGGAAGGTCCCAGGCCTCATGCACCGTCACCTTGAGAGTCGCCATTGATACAAATCAGAGAAAAAAGAAGACCACGCGCTTGCTATCAGAACGAAGCCCTCAACTAAAATAAAACAACAACAAATACAAAAAAAAAAAAGGATTTTATTATTATTTTTTATATGGCGCTTTTGCAAACGGATCTTCACAGACACACGCAAATGCACATGCATTACAAATTGAGGGTATAAGAAAGACACATAAGCAGATAAAGAAGGGGAAGATCCAACGGGATTTGCTGCGGCCAGACACTGTGAAATGCAGAGCCCGCCCACAGCTAGACGGTAATTAAAAATTTCTTGCGGACGATGAAACACTGGTGAGGGGGAGATTCCAGAGACTGACGGCCTCCCTCCCTCCCTCCCATTCCACTCCCAGTAAAAAGGGGAAATAACACTGCAAACAGTGAGTTCATCACAGGAGTTCCTCAGCTTCTTTATCGGCCATATCTCTTGAGAGACGTGTCCACATGGCCCTCAGCTCGGCAAGGAAGCAGATTTGTGGATTGACAACAGGACGCGCTTCCTGCAAGCACCGTAAAAGCTGGCGGAAAGAAAAGATGTACGCATCTTCAATGTCATCTTCAATATTTGATGCAATTGTCTCTTCCAATATCGTATGGCGAGGAGTAAAAGAGAGTGTATAGAATTGCCGACAACACTTTTGCATGTAGTACGCCATGATAACACTGGGACTACGCGACACGCCCTTCATGCAATGAACCAAAACTCCAGGTAAAGAGTGTGCAGTGCATACGACGCCATATTCGTCTTTTGCCAGTGTTAATTGCCCCTGTGGCTCCCTGAAGTCGTGGATAGTCTCTATAGAAGAGAAGGCATCGCTACTGTTGCTGTCATAATCGTCATCAGAGGCACGTGGCTGAGGAAAGAGATCAATGAGCGAGTCATCTAAAACCAATTCCGAGAGGGGCATACCGTACTCGTCATCGTAGCACACAATCGGAAGTGTAAATGCCCTACCATTGCTATGAATAGTAGTATTAGTGTTATTATTTTCCTTGTTTACATGAGACCCGTATTGATGTGTCGCTTCCAACAACGACGCAACATGACGATGCAATAAATAAAGAAACTCGTCTGTATTCTGTTGCTTGTTGTTGTTCCTCTTGCTATAATCATTGTCGTACTCGGCACCGCGTTCCATCAGGTGGGAAAGTCGCACCAGTTCCTGCAAAAGAGCCGTCGATTCCTTCACAAGAGACATATCCGCATCCACAATCCAATCCATGAATGCGGTTGCAACATCAATGATATCCGCAAGACGCGATGTGACATTGTCATCAATGTGCATAGGGAGGTAATACAACGGAACCGAAAGGGTCGCCGGTTCCTCATGGAAGAATGACGACAGAAACGATGATGCATGACCTGTTCTATCGCCACTTATTTGGCTCTCGTGTTTTTCACTCAACTGCCGTGGTGGAAGAAGTTTCTGCATCTTCTCATAACGTCGACAACGCAGCAACCACAGTAAACACGCCTCTAAACCCCGCAGGAAGCGGTGCTCCGACTCCAATATTAATTGCCGGTATTTCTCTTGCCTCGTCTCTCGCACCGCTTTCGTTGTGGCACAGTCGGCGTTGGAGCCCGGCGGAAGGAACAGGGGAAGCGGTACGCCCACAACACGCACCAACAACCGCGGGGACGTTTCGTGCATTCCAAAGGAGAAGGTGAGGCCGTTGCCACAGCGGTTCAAAAACGTCGATTCCGGGGGTGGCCGAATAGTCCCCGACACGATAAGAACCCCACGAATCCACCGATTTTCCTCCGCATCGAGTTTGCCCCCGTCCCCCAAGTCCGTTCCTTCCGTCGGTGATGCGGCGACGACGGCCTGCCGCTCGCCGTGGAAAATCATGTTTTTCGTTAAATTCCCGCGGCGTGCCACCGCCGCACTCGTAAGAAACACGTGACCGGTTTTTGGAGCCGCGCCGCATATCTTCTCGTGTGCGGCACTAAAAAAAGTTGCGTGGACGGCACGCGACACGTCCACGAGGCGGTCGCTCATGCGGGCCGCCAGGAGTTCCGCCAATAGACGTTTTTTCTCCATGTCGCATTCCGGCGGGGGCGCAGTCATCGTCGCCGCGGCCCTTCGGCTGTTGGAAGTCAACGAACCCCCACACACGTTTTTTCTTTTTTCTTCTTTTGTTTTTCCGCCCCCTCTCCCCTCCACACTATAAATAAATAAAAAAAGGGAAAAGAATGAGAGATGGCCGCCCATTGGCAAAGGGAAAACAAAACCAACGGCCCCAATCATGATGATTGCGTCCCCCTCCCTCCCTCCCTCCCCTCTTAAAACGAACAAAAATAAACGAAAAGAAATAAAAAGAAGCATGCAAAGGGACCAACAAGGACATACACAAAAAAAAAGGAAAGAAAAGAAGAAAAGAAGAAGAAAAGAAGAAGAAAAGAAGAAGAAAAGAAGAAGAAAAGAAGAAAAGAAGAGAAAAAAAAAATAAAATGAAAGAAAAAAAAAGTCAAATGAAAATCCCTCACACAACCTTCGGTACATGCCTTCAGATGTACAATTCAACACATTTCTTTTGCTTTGTTGTTGTTGTTGTTATTCTTCTTTTCCTCTTCTGCCTCCATTATTATTTTCTTTTTCTTTTCTTTTTTTCCTTCCCTCTCTCTCTCTCTATCGGGTGTTCTCTTTTCATTCATTCTTTTCTCCTTCTTTTTGGAGACTGGCGTCTGGAATGGGCTCCCCGCCGCTCATTCCAATGGGACCGCTGCGTCCTAAACGCATGCTGGCGGGGGAACTTCTGTGGAATCCGTGGAACTGGAGTTCCTCCGAATCTCCAACACTCTCATGAGTTCTTCTACTTCAGGGTGATGCTTCAAAAAGAGCGACCAGAGAAATCTGCGCCCCCTCACGGCATCCACAACCTCCTTCGCCTCCACCGCTCGCACGTGTGTTGCCGTGTCATCGGGGTCAATTACCGGTTCGTATCCTTCATTTATAAAGTAATTACTTTGCAGCGCTTCCTGAATAGTTATGCGTTGGCTCGGGTCGTAGCAGAGAAGTCTTTCAATGAGCCTAATTTCCTCCTCATCCACGTCACCGTATGGGGACTGCAACAGTCTCCTCAACGTAGAAGGCTTGTGTAAATGCTGCTGCATTTCCCGCCGCATTACACTTTCAAACAACTTTTGTGTGTCCTCATCGCGGTGCTGCAGAATACGTTCTGCTGCCTCCTCAGGGATTTTGCCAAGGACACCCATGATGGCGTTGAGTTGGCCGACACCACCGCTATGCCGACAGTAGAAGAGTGGCCGCCCTATAACCATCTCCGCCGCGATGCAACCAATGGACCACACGTCCGCGGCATGCAACGTTTTTTGGTCAACAAATCCGGAAGGTGAGGAGACATTGGCCAGCGTCAGCGTCTCTGGCGCTGCGTACCACTGTGTGCAGTTGTCTAAAAACGTTTGGAGAACCCCATCCAATTCCGTTGCAACGGCGTCACGGCCCTGACCAAAGTCGCACACCCGCGTGTTGTAGTTGCGATCAAGCATAATATTCTCCGGTTTAATGTCACGGTGAATGACAAGGCACAAATGCATGTAGCCTACCCCGCGTAGTAACTGGTAGAGGATAAACATGCGGTAGTCACGAGCAAGTGGGTGCAGCACGAGATGTGTCTGAGGGCAACGCGCAATTCGCTCATTTCTACGCGCCGTGCTTTTATTTATATCGTCATGAGCACCGTCATCATGCTTCTCTGTTCCTGCCGAACTTGTTATTTTCCCATTGGACAGTTTGCCACACTCGTCCTGGGTATCCGTTGTGGTAAAGACACTAGACTCAAGCACTTCCCGTAGTGTGTATTCCATTTTTTTCATGACAATATAGACACTATCAAAGTTATGCCGAAGATACTCGACGGACTCGTACGTCATTCTTTCACAATCACCCAGTGGGATAAAAAAGTCCAAGGCGGACATGACATTCTCATGTTTAAAGGCCATCATGAGTTGAATCTCACGTGTGGCACACAACCACATGCGTGGTCTGTTTTGCTCAAACAACTGCCGCAGCTTCTTCACCGCTACTGTGGTGTGGCTCTCGTAGATATCAAGACGCTCCTCTTTGGAGAGGGAAGGGTCATTGTACTCCTCGGGAGGGCTCATGTGAAAGTTTTCCACCAGGTCATTGTCCGTTGCAGCACAGACAAAACCGTACGCCCCCTTCGCAATGGGAGCAATCGCCTCGTACCGTGTCCGCAACTCAAAAATCTCCGGAAGTTCCTCCCCCTCCTCATTGCGGAAAACAATCATAAAACGTTTGGAAGCCAATGGATGGCGACAGATGGTGGTTATCAATGACATTTTTTTTTTTTTTTTTTTTAAATTCCGTCCAATAACTAAGAGACGGTGATGCGCACTTACACGCCTACACGCAGAAAAAAGGAAGAGGGTTAGGGGGTGTAGAATTGACCCAATTCCCTTTTAACGTCCACGTAATTCCATTAGGCCAGTCGATAAATAAAGGAGAAAAAGAAGGGAGGAAGGGCGTACAGAAGCATACACACACATACTCACCCGCACCAATTCTTCTTTATGCGTCTGGAGAAAGGCCATAAAACACAATCCAAAGCAAAAGGGGCTAAGAAAAGTCTTATTCGCAGGTGAAATAGAACTCTTACAGAGAGAGGTATACAAACATCACCTCATGTCCTCCAGTGCAGGGTGCCAGCAAAATAGGGTAGAATCACGACGCATTTACAATGACTACGAGTCGCCGTAACACCATCGCTTCACTCACCCACGTTATCATCCTCTCCGTCTTCTTGCAAGAGAAAACCGCTCACATCGTGCCCACTCAGCCGCCAACGCACGTTTCGCGTCTCCACTATATCCTTTTCCCTACCTGTTTCGGCAGTGGCATCTGCAGTCCGCATCAGTGCCTCCATCCGTGCCGCCAAGGAAGAGAAGGCGTCTAGTGAGCCACTGTCTGACAACTCCGTTATTCGCCGTGCCCATTTCTCGCCCGTGCGGTTGTTCCGTGTGTTTATCTCTGACGGCACAACAGTGATGAAATCATCCGGAAGGCCCTGCAAAAAAGTCATACAGGCTTTGCAAATGAACCGCCGTCCTCCTGTTTGAGGCATAACGGCATGTCCGTCAGGAACAGGAATGAGACATGCACAAAGCAAGCACAGTTGATGGGTACGGTCGTCATTCCGTGGGGAGAACGGCTCCATGCCGCTTCCGCCAAACCATGAGTAGTGTGGGGGTTGCATCGTCTGCAACTTTTCATAGTGGTGCTGAGCCGACTTTCCAAGTAGGACACGTTTCGCCTGCTGCTGCGATGCTCCACGTTGTGGGTCCATACATGTAAGCTCTGGTGCCGTCTCCACATGGAGTTTGTTGACCGTATTCAACACGTTAAATACAGAGGTGCGGTACGTTCGCAGCATATTGTTGAAAAATAACTCCAGCGTGCGATTCATAGACCGCAGACTCGTCTGGGTGCTCAGTGAAGGGGAGTATGCCGCATGGATGCCCTGTGTGCGGCAGTACATCACAAGCTCATGTGGCAGCATGGTGCGTAGTGGGCGCAGGACAAGACATTGACCGACAAATCCACGATAACCAGAAAGATGAACGGTATTCTGGCCGTTCCCGCTCATAACCTCACGTAGCGTCGTCATAAAGCAGCGAAGGGCATTCTCTCCAGTCAACAAATGATACCAACCAACGGCACTTGGTGCTTGCCTTGTGCGGTGCCACCGATGAATACATTCCAAGGCGGCAGCCGTCAATACACGTTGCCGCAGCCGTTCATACAGGAGCTCCCGGTCCGATAATGACAGACGAGAATGATGCAAAACCCCACGAAACGCCTGCAACTCTCCCGGTGATAAGTAATCGCTGTAGCGCACCACACACACCTCACCCTCCGCGAAGAGAGGGGCACTGGCAAATTTCCACTGGACGCACTGCGTCCGTATCATCGTCTCCAGTTTTTCAAACTGCTCGGTCATGGAAGCAGCAACACAACGCAGTTCTTCCTGCCGCGGATCCACCCCCGCATTCTCTTCCGCCTCCTCTGCCAGCAGCGGCAAAACAAGTTCATCCTCTCGCAGGTGGAACGGAATAAATGTAAAGGTGACTTGACCACATTCTGGACGCATTCGGTTTTGTGCCCGCAGCACTCCCAGCTGATGGAGGATGGACATGGAGCTGTGACCGCCTGAAACAGCAACAGCAAGTGGCACCTCACACGGCATGCCGCAATGCTTAAATAAATTGTCTCGTATCTGCCGTGTGCAGAACTCAACAAAACAGTCCGCGCAGTACGGCTTGGTGGCACCGTCACGGCTGCGAAAAACGCCCTGCGACTGCTTACACTTGAAACACACCGCCATTTCCGGTCCGTCTCTACAAATAAAAAAAAAAATAAGAAAAAAGAATTATGTGCGCTCCGGCTACCGCGCCTGTAGACACCCCCCTCAAAAACAAAACAAAACAACTGCACACAAACACACACACACACACAAAAAAAAAAGAATAAAAGTGTGCGTGCCTGTGTGTCTGTCTGAAATCCCCACCGCCTTCGTGTTCACATCCCTCCCGTCATCGCATATACATGTGTATATATTTGTATTTGTGTGTGTGTGTGTTTGTGTGCAAAAAGAAAACAAACGCACCGGCAGCGGTCACAAACAAGCAAACAAAAAAGAGACGGGAAGAGAAAAGCCAAACAAGAACAGCTACAAGAAAGAAAGAAAGAAAGAAAAAAAAAAGAATAGAAAAGAAAAGAAACAAAACAGCCACGGCCAAAAGAGCATATTTTGGTAAATAAATAAGCAAATAATAATAATAATTATTATTATCATCAACAGTGGTGGTAACAACAACATTAAGACCTGGATGGAAGGTGGTAGCAAAGCGAGCACGTGGGGGGGGGGAAGAATTTACACACGTGAAAACACTGCTGATCTCGTAAAGTGCCCAACAAAGAAACAGCAAAAAAAAAAAAAAAAAAGAAAAAAAAAAAAAAAAGAAAGAGAGACATGGAGAAAGAGGACACATGCACCCCAAAAGATGGATAGTTGGATGAAAAGAGGGGCCTGGCAATCAAGGAAGGCATGCGTACACATGGCTACATACATGTACATGCAGATGAAGACAGGAAGACACGAGGATGAAATAAAAAAAGGGGGTTCCTAATTGTTGTTGTTTTTCTTCCTTTTTTTTTTTTTTGTTTGTTTGTTTTGTTTTAAATGGCTGATTTTCTTCTTGTCTTCTTCTTGCGCTGCCGCAGAAACGATCATGGCTGTTGCTTCCTTTCAAGTCCTCCCCCCCTCACACACAAAAACAAAAAGAAAAAAAAAAAAAAAAAGGAAAAGACACATGCAAATTTTCCCTCACATAATCATTTAATCTTTTTTTCTTTCATTTTTATTTTTTTTTCCTTCTTCCTGTTGCTTTCTTGTTGCTGTTCCTTTGAAAAATTTTCTAAGATTATAAAGAGTTCTAATGAAACAAAAACAAAAACCAAAAAAAAAAAAAAAAAAACAGAAAACGGGTACCGACATACGTGTTCAAGCATCCAAAATGGATTCCTCCGGCTTTTCTCCTTTTTCGTTTTTTTTTTCTTCTTTCTTCTTCTTCCCCCCCTCTTTGTGACACACACACACACACACACACAGGC